AAAAGAAGAGAAAAAAAAAGACGGGATTTATTCTTATAAGTAGGCTTTTGTTTTCGCGCGGAATTGGGCACAGAAAACACAAAGGAAGCACCAAAGCCGCTAATACCGCCTCGCGACATGGTGGCCGGTCCTCTGGGCCTGTTCTTTTCCTGCGCTTGAAAAAATAAAATAAAATAAAAGAATCTGTTTTCGTGCTTGTTTAAAAGAATAAGAAGACCGGATGGAATGTAAAAAAGAAAAAAAAAAAAGATTGATTTATGTCGCTGCAATGCTCGCCTACTTCCCCTTATTTTTTTTTTAAGTCTTCTTTTTAACAGCTTTCACTTTTTAGTCACGAGATTACACCTTCGCGAGATCGTTTAATGTGCGGTAGGCATCCAGTGACAAATTTATGATCAGGTTTAGGTTTTCGCTTGTACAGCGCGGGCTAAAGTCACGGTCTTACTGCTAACATATGATACAAAAAAAAAAAAAGACTACAGACATTGTCTGATGCGTGTTTCTTTCTTCTACGACGGTTTTGTCAGATTGCTCATGTTAAAACCATAGACATGTTTGAGGCAAACATGGGTCGAGCATGCTTGAGGCGCGTGTAAGAAGATAACTCTTTCATCATGATGGCTGCAGGGGAACACCCTGTCTTTTGCATGATGTATATTGTCCCGAAGGACAGGAGCATAAGCGTCGAAAATCACGTTTCAAATCTGAAAGTTTAATGGGCGAACTTCTGCTAAAAAAAATGAGGAGCGAGCGTCGAGGCAGCAGAAAAGCGGGCGGCGATTTGGCGGCGTAACAGCAAGCGCGAACGAGACTGACTCGACGAGGTCCCGGTCAGCTCCTGTTGTTAGTGTGCGTCGGCATCGCGAAAAGTCAGCCCAGAAGGTTCGAGCGTCGAGCATTCGGGGTGAGAATAAACAGGCACTTTCGAGGACAAGATACTAGGATGAAATGATAGCAGTTATGTTCCAAGTAAGAATTAACGCGAATCTTCTATAAGATGCACAGCCTAAGACGCTGTGCACTTCGATTTTCAAAAGGCGTTCAATCTAGCTGACTGTTTAATGCCTGCGTACAAATTCCAAATGCACGGTGTGAGGGCACATAGGCTTTTTATGAATGCGTTAGCATTAGAACGCTCATTTTGTCGAAAACCCGGCGGTGTCTTTCGTTTATCAGTGCCGGTGAGAGAGGGAAAGGAAGGGGGAGAGCGTGACGCGTGCGAAGCATTCATTGGTCCAAAACGCCGACGTCAGCCCGCGTCAACCTTTCGCTTTCTCCCCGGCGCTGACAAACTGACAGACACCGCAGGGGTTTTCGTCAAAACGAGCCCCTTCATTTTCGTCAAAGTAACGCTCACAGTTGGCGCCGAACAAGAGAGGAGGACCTCCTAGATGAGAAAGCCTAAGTGCAGAATTTTGCTGCGTCACTAAAGAGGGCCACTGTAGGCCACAGATTGGGCATGATTACGGCGTTAACGTTGAACTGGGACTCGGGCTCTCACTGATTGGACACATGTTCCGGCCGAACGCTGACGCAGCACTAGTGTCCAATCTGTGGCCTACGAGGGCCTTCTTCAGTGACGCAGAAAAATTCTGCACTTAGGCCTTCTCATCATAGGAGGTTTTGCCGCGGCGCGGTGGAATGCGGGCGTGCTCAGTTGCCGCTCTGTCATCGCCGGTTGTTCTTCGCTCTGGGTTTCTGTAGCACCGGTGCGTTTGCTGCGATGTGCATGTGTGTGTAGTTAAAGGGACCATGAAATGATTTTAAAATCGAATTTCATCCACCGCACGTCGTAAAAGGTGTGAAAAGAAACACAAAAACACAAAAATAGGGAGCCAAAAAAATTATTTCCTATAGAACTTTTAAAAGAAAACTGGACTCTTTTGCGCCTTCTTTCCTTCGCCTTTTCACTACGATGCATCCGCGGAAACGGAGCACGTCAGCCGAATCCACGTCGCCTATTGGGTAAGAGCCTACCTCACCAGCACCGCGATCGTAAACAATAAATAGCCGGCGAATGTTTCCTAAACGTTTTGTTAAATAATATTCAGATCCACATTTTGTAGCATAATTAGAGATGTGTGGCGAAAATTGCCAAATTTGATAATGCTGAGAGCCAAGCGCAATCTATCGTGTGGTAAACGAAGCAACTACTGCGCGTGCGCAGTAGGGCAGGGCCGACTTCAGTTATTTGGGTGGCGACGACCGACGAATGTTTATTTCGTTTGATTTCCTTCCTCTCAAAACTGACTGACTGACTGGACGTTTATTTTTCTACGTTTTCTTCTCGCGTGTGCCGACTTCAAGCAGCAAGAAAAAGAGTACTTAAAACAGACCATGACGAACAAGAACGCTGGATCTACAAACACCCGAGAAAATCCACCGACTCCGACGAAGCGAGCTGCTCAGAATATAGGCCTAGCAGGCACTCCGACTCGGCGCAGCGTTGCTTCGTCGCAAGACCGTCTGCCTACGACCGGCTGGCGTGCTGAATGGAATATGCCCGCGCGACCCTTGTGGACCCTTCCCGTATTATAGTTTGATCGCTGACCTCAATTTTAGATTAAGAGGTGAGGTAAATCTCTTCCCCTTGTTTTCCGAGGCAGTGTTGACGAACACTCGTCGAAATGGGACTCTCGTCGATTCTATCTTCTTGTTTTGTGTGATATAGAGCTGAAATAAACACCGTATGGATTACCTTCGTAACACGGTATGTACACTTTGTTATTGGTATGCCATTTTTATTCAGACAGACTGCACGTCACTGTCGAGCTATAACAGTTCGTGGGAGGTATACGTGCAATGCCGGTCCAACCTTTCTTGGCCGAATGTCGCGTCAGTATCGAGTTGCAATCGTAAAAGAACGGTCCCGAAGCGCTTACCAACATCGCCAATAGGACCGAAGCGCTCAAGTTTCGCCGCCGACTACAGCGCCATTCCAGCCCCTGGCGGGACGCCCGAACCCGAGTGGCTCGTTGTTTTTCGCCTCGCTTCTCCGTCGTAGGCGGTCGGATATGACATTCATTGCGATAGAGACGATATAAAAGCCCGGCTAGCACAAATGTTTCGTTGTTGATCGCAGCAACAACCTCCGATATTGTTGTAGTCAATCCTTAAAATTCTACCGCTCCCCTGAAAAGCCGTGCGAGACTCGAACGGCGCCAAGCCTGGACCACGTCGGTGCTCCGACAAAAGTAAGTCTCTCGTTCGTTGGAAGATCAGTTTTGCTAAATACGCGAGAAAACCTAAATGGAGTTGGTGTCCGAATAGAAACAGAATGACTACCGAACGCGGGAAAGTCAGTTGACTGGAAATGCATGACGGAATATTTGTTTTTTAGTGCGCGTCTGTCGCTTCCCTCGAGGTGTTTGACGAGGCTTCGGTCGCTATGTTGGATCCCTTTGGCACGGATATTTCAACTATAATCACTGGCAGGGTGAGAACGGCAGGGAGAAGCTTTAGTTCCTCCAGCACTAGCTTCCAACCTTCGACAGGGTTTCTATCTCGCGACCGTCGAGCGTTCACGTGCAGCCACATCGCAGCGAAGAGCAACGAAGACGTGCTAGAGCTCGGCCGTTCACAAGAGACGCCCTGCATGCCTTTTTGACTTTGTCAGCATATGTCTAGCTAGGGGAGGGGCTTTTGGGGGTTGCGAGTGCAGCTTTCTTCTGCCGTGTGTGTTTCTTAATCGCTGTTCCCGTTTTTTTAGCTGTTTATAGCCATAATATACGACGCTATAATACACACATGCATCCCCCCCCCCCCTTCCCAAACAACACACACAAGGAATGCACCTCCAAACCGCCTCAACCAGCCAGCCACCCGCCCCCCCCCCCCCTTTTTTTTTAAATAAAAAGAAACCCTGATTATGTTTTTACTTGCCAGAGACAATAATCGTTTCTATTATTTCGTGTCGATTTTCTACTCATCACACCAGAGATCTTATATTATTGATTTATTTTTCAGTGGGGGTGGTTCAGTTTTGATTCCGCCAACGTCAGCGGGGATCTGCAGCGTGCACTTCATGAACACCTGCAAGGACAACGCTCAGGCTCATCCTGCAACAAGTTACTAGACGAGATGCCAGCTGAGGTGTTTAATAAAGACTAATTGCAGGGAACCTACCAACCCTGTAATTGCTCGTGAAAGATTCTTAGTTAATTTAAATTAATTTTCACCCCCTCGCTCGAAGATACAGGTGACCTTTCCTCATCTATTTTGCATTCTCTATATGTGCCCGGTTCTTAGCCTGTTAAAAGTATCGTTAGTTGATTGGCAACTTCTGTCTTTGAGTTACATGTTTTGGTTTAGTCTGTACCCCAAGATTCAGTATAGCTTGGCTAAAGATGGATAAGCTTAGGTGACGACTGCTTTCTCACGAACTGGGAGACATCTTTCGCGAGATCTGGAATATGAACAGCTAATCTGCCGTGCAAGATCCCTGAAGTAGTCGGGGTTCTCGGCCCTACAATTTCTTGGACAGTCCTTGCTTCTCGAGATGTGTACATCATCTACAAGTATCCTGCCGGCCATACTTCGAGTCTGCTCCAATGTCACCGTGTTAAGAGCATGAGAAGAATTTTTATATTGTCACAAGGTTGTGTGTTTACCTACTCGTGGTTGTGATAAAACTCAATAAACATCTTTTTCACTGTCAACAAAACATTTCTGAAAGCGTTGCATTATGTTGCTGTACCATATTTTCCAGACTATAGTCTGCAGGGGCAAATTTGGGGTAAAAAGATTTTGCTTAGATTGTGCACATACGGTGCATCGTCCGCACCTGGTGCTTAGTCGTCACGAATATCCTCTCATAGACACAAAGAAGCTGGTATTATACATAAATTATCATTTACGTACTCTTTCATTCACCAAATCAGTCGTCTCGTCATAATCAACGATATTGAAAAACAAAAATTTTGCATAGTCCGCACAGCCTAAGATTCCAACTTTTAAAAGTATAGCCCGGAAATTACGGTACATTCCTGGAAACGCTCGAAAACATGCCACGAAAAACTTTATTCAGTGAAGCAGCAATTAAACACTGGCATGCATGGATTATGTTTCTAGAAAATAAAAGTTGTTCTACTGATGACAACCTATCATGTGTCACTGGTGTTTCCTTTGCTACACAACATTTTCCTCCTAAAATGTCCCACACAGTAAAGTATGAATCAAGCCCCCAGCCAATATCTGGAAATCTTGCATGTGGACTGGACAACTTGAACCTGAAAGAGAAATGAAGTTTTTTATGAATCCATCCAACTGAACATTGTCATGAAAATTCGACTAAAATTATGTGCAGTCATATGCATAGCAGACATTTATGCTGGAGATTTAGTCTAGGCTAGCCTCTTTTCGTTTTCAACTGTTTTGCCCCTCTTTCTGACAGAATCTCGCGGCACATTATTGCTCATACTCGCAGAAAAAGAACCATTAATCAGCAGGAGCAGGTCCCAGTAACTGCAACCTACTGCCTCAGTGAAGTGGGACAAAAAAACCTGGTAATAAATCTACGAAACCTTTGTTCAGGTCGTGCCCTGGCGTTTTAGTTCCCTACTGCTGAGGCAGGCTGATGCAGGAAGTGTGTTCAACAATGCTAATAAAATTACGAGCGTCGGCACAATGCTCGCACCGGTCCGCGACTCCAGCCCAGCGAGGACGTGCAGTCTCAACTGTACGCGGGGGACTTATCTCTTCCCGGAATTATCACCCTATGCCCGCATGATCCCCGACACGTAAATATTTCTTCGACGTGGGCGAGCCCGAAAAGCTATCCTACTCGTAGCCTCTAGTGCGAGAACGTAGTCTGCCGGTGGTTCAGCGACCGAAAAATAGTATCCCGACGTCGTCTAACAGGACTCACGAGAACAGTGGTTTATTGTGATTAGTAATCTTAAAGGCACAATGTTATTACAGCGCAAAATTTAAACAAGGGACGCTCACCTGTAAAGTTATCTCGTAGACGCCGCACGGGCGACACGACCGTACTTGCGAGGCGGACCCGACTCGTTGGCGGGGAAATCAACCGCTTTCTCGGTGGAAGATGCGTGTTATTGAAGCTTCTCTATCGTTTCTTGACTCATCATGAGAAATAACTCTCGCACGCTTTCTATCTTTCTCTAAATCTTCACTGTACGCTCGAAACACCTGCGACGCCAATGCAACGCTACGAACACGACCGACGCGACACGACCATGTGTTGTACTGCGGTGGCGCTACCATCGCAATTTCGAAGCGCCCCCTGGTTGGGCGAATCGATTCTATACAGCACTTCCATCAAACGCGCGCGTCCGCTCCGAGTGTGAACAGGTATTTACGTGGCTCTTGCCGACACTCGTAGTTCAAACGTATCTTTTTTAACGTCGGCTCGCTCCTGCATCTCCGAGGCCGCGAAAAACGCCGCGGCAATTTGTTTCCATCTACGTCGCTTTGCAAACAACTGACACGGGCCGCCTTTTACCAACATTGAGTTGGGTTGACTTCTGGAGTCTTCACCGGAAGACTCGCTGCACTTCCCAATAGGCATACCGGCGTATGGGACTAGTCCCATGCTGTCGCTGTAGCGCAACATATTTCATTGAATTTCGCTCAGCTGCGATGCGGCGATGAGAGGCGCCGATTCAGAAAATACGTCGGTGACATCAGCGCAGTAAAACCTACCGGCGCACCCCAACTCGTCGCCGCTAACGCTCCCATTCTCCTACTGCCGAGAGAACTTCCGGTTCCGGAAACAGCGTACGTCACGGCTTGTTTTGCGGTCAGTTGGAGAAAGAAAAGGTCGATATTTCATTAATTTTTTTGTAGAAGTTAATAAACCGAGACGAAAACGGATGCCTGTTCGGCATTCAGTGAACATTGACGGTTTAATGTAAAAGTTATCTGGAAAAAGTAAAAAGGTCATTTCATGGTCCCTTTAAAACGATAGGTACGGTTCCCTCCACGAGTTATATGGATATGGTTCTTTTCACTAGTGATATGAATGACCGTATCTAAGGGCGTCGACGTACTCTGACAGGCAGAGTACAAAAAAAAAGGGCGAAAGAAATTACAGGAATATGCATTGCAGGATTCTTAAGGAATGCGTTAGCATGATCCTTGGGAAACGCCACACAGGTCCACCTTTGGGAAACGCTGACACCGACTCCGCAGCGAGGCCAAAAAGAGGCAGTGAAAAATAGAGGAAGAAAAACAGAAATTCTGGTAAAAGCGAGCCAGCTGAACATGAATACTTAATATCGAAAGAATAAAGCACGGAGGACAAGCACAGGACAACCACGTCTTTCATTTAGCAGCAACGTTTATTTCGGGAAGGAAAATTGCACCTGAACGAGATCCCAACCTCCCCCTTTCCATCCCCCGGTTTTCCTTCCCCCTTATCACCCTATCTTAGTTGGGATCTCCTTCAGGGTGCAGATTTTCCTGCCCCAAATAAACGTTGTTGCTCAGTGAAATAACGTGGTTGTCCTGGGCTTGTCCTCCGTGTTTTATTCTTTCGATTTTAAGTACAAAAGAGAAAGTCAAAACAGAAAAGTGAAGGGGTCAGCGCTGGCACGTAGCCAGGATTTTGTTCCGAGGGGGGGCCTCGGGCCCCATTCCCCCCCCCCCCCCCCCCCCTTTCCCCCTGGCTACGTGCCTGGGTCAGCGTTAGCGATTCCCCAATGGGGACGTATGCGGCGTTCCCCGGGGGTTATGCTAACGCATTCCCTAAAAATCCACCAATGGATCTTCCTGTATTTTTTTGCTGGATAATCTTTTTATGAGAAACCAGTTTTAGGTTCAGTTCTCGCGAATTTCTATCTGTACTGGCTGTGCTACAACGCTGGCAGCGCTTTTGAGTAGCTCTGTGAACGACATCGTCTTACATAGCCACGTTAGTAAGTGACGCGAGAAACCATATAAAATTTGCAATATGCTCGCAGGTGTAATTGTTGGCTAAATATTATTAATATTTTATACTTTTCAGGCAAGCAGAGAGGAAGAGAGTTCTAATTTAAAAAAAAAAAATAAAAGCTGTTTGAAATAAAATAGCACTATTTTCATCATTCCCGAGGAAGGCCCGACCCAGGCCGAGACATGAACGAACCAAATCCGATAAACTTCTAAGCTGGAACATGACCAATAATCAGTGGACCCGTGTTCGGGTCCAGGCTCATCCAACTATGAAATTATTGATTTCCGGCGGAATTTTAGCTGTAATTTTCATTCAGTCAGTATACGGTTTTTTTAATCTGTATATTCGAATGATATACACCTTATATACATCAGTGATCAGGAAAAAAATTAAGAGCACTCCTACATTGTGGGAATGAGGGCGCCTATCCTGACGCGCCATCCACGTCAAGACCCATTCACAGAGGCGCGTTTGCTTACGTTTCCTTGCGTTACGTTCTAAATCACCGAGACATCCGTTGGTGCAACGATTTCTGTACTTCACGTAAATACTACTCAAAATGAATCCGTGACATTTATAGCCTATGAAACGCGCGTTAGGTTTCCTCATGTAAATAAGCGGGGAAAAAAACACAGGGACAAGAAAGTAGACAAAAAGATGGCGTCTTACGCAAGAAGCTTTCCTTTCCTGCTCGGATATTTTTGTAGATTCGTTTTGTGAAGGTCTCGAAAAAGTGGAAGCAGGTAATCGCCAACGTGTACGCGAGTTCAAGAACGCGTTTCCCGGAGACGTCGGTTCGTGAAGAACGTTAGAACTGCCTGAGATGAAAACGAGCTATTTCCTAGAATTGTTTTGTGTTCCTTACCCGACCTAATCATGTTAAATTGCAACTGTATACTAATGTGTCGAGCTGTATCGAATGAGTGAATCTGATTGACCAGGAAGTGTTTTGTTACTGTGTGTGAGTGTTTTGTGAGTCCAATGCTGCCATCATTTAAAGGGGGCCGAGGGCCCCACAAGCTGCGTTTGTAGCTTTTTTCCTCGGCCTCCTCCATTCTGTATGAAATGGAAACCAATAAAGAAAGAAAGAAAGAAAGAAAGAAAGTCCTGGAGATGGTCAGTAACGACACCGGAGTGTCTGGCAAGGTGGCGTCCCCGAAGCGAGGACCTCGCAACGTGAAAGTTTCGTGCACGCGGACCGTGTTGTGAACTGCCTTCTGTTATTTCTGGTGTTAAAATTGGCCTCGTGGCTTCAAAGTGAAACAAGCCTCAAGAGGGAACCGTGTCGGTGATGAATCCTGCCTACGGCTTCGTCTTGATCGGCTAAGCGGACGATGCCCGTGGTTGCATTCCGAAGCGTCTGGGTTCGTTTGCCTGCGGGACCGTAACCTCGGTCGGCTCCGTCCGCCTGAAGCACCCTTAACCTTGGTCGGCTAAGTGGACGACGCCCGTGCCTGTATTCCGAGGCCCCTGCTTTCCTCGGAAAAGGAAACAACACTCGATCCTAATCTTGAGTGCCGTGTGTTGTGTACGCGTCTATTGTGAATCACTCCCGGTTCATGGGGGCGCCGGCACCAGAGCAGCGAGATACTGCCGTCTGGATGACTTCGATACACCGGCGAGTATTTGGACTCTGAAGGAAACTTCCATGAAGTCACATTACGCGAGGGAATGCCAAGCCATCTGACCAATGGCAGTGCGGTCCCCTAATCCCAGTATTTGTTGTATAAAGGACCGTCCACCGCACTTTTAAGGTAACTCTCTGAGTTTCACGCTACCATGTAAATAAACGGCTTTAAATAGAGACGCCCTGGATCTCGACCGTTCTTCAGTTTTGAGGAGGCCGGCGCGGGGTTCAAACGGAACACCAGCCCCTGGTGTACCCCCTTATAAATAAAAAAAAAAAGAAAATAGGAATTGAAATATACACTTTCGCAATACGCACAATTTTGCACAAAAAATACGTCGCAAAAGAAAAAAAAGCCAAAAAACCTTTGCGCCTGAAGTGGATTCGAACCACCGCCACCGCGACTTCGGTATCGCCAGAGCAGCGCCTTGTACCGCTCGTCCACGAAACGCGCGGAGTAACACATTTTTTTTTTTTTTATGCGCACTACTTCAGTATCCTTCCCAGCGTTGCACGCTATATTTGAAACGGAGTTATATGATCGCTTCGATTTTGCAAGGGGTAACGCCCCTGAATAAGAAAGGTAGCGCCATCGTCTCCCTCCTCCTCTGACGCGCACAGCTTTTATCTTTATGTTTTGCTTTTTTACACCCGCGCATCGACTTTAGTGCCGCCTGGATCGGGCTAAGATAGCAGACGGCCTTCCTATACTTGAGTCAGAGCGCGGTCTAAGTCTGAAAGAGACACGCGGGCGCAAATAAATACACACTGGCTAAAGGAGCACTGTCACGGTCTACCAGCCTCGAAGGATGGGCTCAAAGAACGACAATGAAAGCCGTGACGTTACACAGTCGGCATTATTTGATTGGCGGCATGAGCTCATAGCATGCACTGCACTCCGACAGCATAGGGCATAGGCATTCCTTCATCCTCCTCCAATGACGCGCACACCTTTTAGATGCGGAGCATCTCTTGCTGGGATCTATGTCTCGCGGCGTCGGCGTCGTAGTCCGCACTCACACTACGCATGCGCAACTCTCCTCCTTCCCTCTCTCCAACAGCTGCGCGTTACTCTCTCCGCTCTCTCTCTCTACCAGCTGCGTGCACTTCGCGTGCGTACGCTTCTACTCACACCGCGCGCGCATGCGCAACTCTCCTCTTCTAGTCTCCTCTCCTTCAGGTGTGAATATAAGCAGCGGTAGCGCGCTGCGCGCGTTCAAGGGGAGGAAGCGGCCGAGTGGGCAAACGCGTCTCAGCTCGGAGCGTGGAGCGAAAGCTTGCGCTGGGAACCTCCTGGGTTCGAGTCCCCGCCGCCCCCGCACGTTTCGATCTGGATGAGTTTCGTACCGGCACGCGTTCGTGTGATCACTACTGCGTGATGCGCGTTAAAAATCCCAGGTTAGCGGTTGTACTGCACTGGCTAAATTTCTCATCTACAGCTAAGAGGCCGATTACCCGTTGAGGCGCATCTCCATCAAGGCTGTATAAACCTAAAGAGCAAACCAATTTCTGCGCGCGTTCAGTCCACCGCTGTTGACTCCACTCCGTTCTTCCGATGAAGTGTGATGGAAGCAACAGCCCCGTCAGTTAGTGGGTTTGCGCAAGCAAGCGTCCGCACCACCCCACAAACAAACGTAATAACACGCAAGTTAACAACGTTACTAACACCGTTAATAACGATCCGCGATGCTCCGCATCACCCCATGGTTCCCCTCGGGAAGATGGTGTAA